GCATTCCTGTTTTTCAGATGTTCAACCTTCCGGACTGATCTTCCAGTTTTCTTCCCTTGTGTCTCCTATTTTCTACCTTTGTCTTTTTTGCTTTCCTGGGAGACTTGAGGTCTACAACTTCTACGACTTGAAGTCTACAAGTCTATGACTTCTACAACTTTTAATTTTGACATTACATTAAAAAATTTTTTTTTTTGTAGTCTTTAAAATGTTGTTGTTGTCGTTCTCTGAATGTTCCCTTTTAGAGCATCCTATTCTTGTTTCACGAGCACAACATCCTCTCTTTTCTCTCTGGGAATGTTAATGAGAGGTTTTCTTTTTTCCTTGACTTTTCATCTTGCGTGATCTGTACTTCCTCCAAGTTGACTTTTTTTCTGCTGGTTTTGGTTTCTGTCTTTCTTCTTTGTTAGGCACCTATTGAGTTGCTCAGTTTTAAGAGTGGGGCTCTAAAGCAGAGTTTCTTAACACATGTGCCCCCCCCAAAAAAAAAAGATGTCATAATGTGTGAAGATAATGATGGTGTCAGCCCTCCAAGTGGCAGGGCAGCATCTGGGGAGGCTGAATCCCCCTGGCTCTGCACACAGCCTCATCTGTTTACCCCAGGGTCATATTTTACATTTTCTGTGTGTGGTGTGAAGTGAGGAAGTTTCAGAAGTGCTCCCCACAGTGTGTGGAAGCTCGGAGCCCATAGGTTGGCTTAGTGACAGTGGGTTTCATTGTTGCATGTTCCACCTGGGTCATTTTCTTGAGGCAGATCTGTGCCCATGTCTTTAGATCTTTCCTTTGGAGCTGATCAAATCCTCCAGAAGAGTCATCAGGTTCCCACCTGGAGGATGTAGGTCTGGCTTTCAGTAATTTTAGGAGCAAAATTGAGAAGAAAGTCTGCTGATCTCAGCATTCAATATGTTGACACTCTCTTGACTCTCTCAGTTTTTGGTGCAGTGCACCTACCCTCAGATGTGCCTGCTACCCACCTGTCCAGAGATGCCCCCTCCATCTCACACTCTCCAGAGCATGTCGCTTATCTTCTACTGGAGCTGGGGAGCCTTACTAAACAGGGCAGAGGAGTCATGTATCTATGTGGAGCAAGGATCTGGGAACTCACCTATTTCCTAAGACTTTATCAGTCTCTTCTTCTGTAATTAGCTCATCCTTCACCCCTCCTTCCACAGCTTCCTCATCCTACCAATTCCGAGCCTTGCAGCGGGGGGGGGGGGGGGGTACTGAAATGCAACTTACGTTGTGTCTGAGCGTCCTTCGCTGCTAAATTAGGAATATCTTTTAGATCTTGGGTAAAGTACATGTTCTTAAACAAGCCACAAAAAGTGTTGACTGTGAAAAATTATTCCTCACATTGTTCATCACCTTAAAAAAAAAGTGTCAAGTCTGCCAAAGGTTTGATATCAAGAAGATAACAAAAAACGCCTACACCTCAATATGAGGAGGGTGATTGGCTCAATTAGAAATGAGACTTGAGGGACTTCCCTGGTGGCGCAGTGGTTAAGAATCTGCCTGCCAATGCAGAGGACACGGGTTCGAGCTCTGTTCCGGGAAGATCCCACATGCGGCAGAGCTACTAAGCCTGTGCGCCACAACTGCTGAGCCTGCACTCTAGAGCCCACGAGCCACAACTACTGAGCCCTTGTGCCACAACTACTGAAGCCCACGCACCTAGAGCCCATGCTCTGCAACAAGAGAAGCCACCACGATGAGAAGCCTGCACACTGCAACGAAGAATAGCCCCTGCTCGCTGCAACTAGAGAAATCCCGCGTGCAGCAAGACCCAACGCAGCCATAAATAAATAAATGAATGAATGAATGAATAAAAAAGAGAGACTTGAACTGAACATGTGTTTCATAGAAGAGGAAACACAGGGGGCTACAGACCTTTGAAGAGCTGTTTAGCACCTGGGTAATGAGGGGAAGGCGGGTCACAACCACCACCAGAGACCATACTTTGCTCACTGGATTGTGCATTAGGATTAGGAAGTGGGACAGAGATAAATGTCGTAGACTTTGTGGGTCCACACATCCCCTTACATATACCAGATGAAGCTAAAAACTGCTCCAGCTACTTTGGAGAATAATTGAGTATTAGCTCATACTTTGGAGAAGAAAGTAGCTTAATTCTGCTCCCAGGGATACACCCAAGAGAAATTCTTTTGCATATCACAAAAGGAGACATATACAAGGACAGTCATAGCAGTACTGTTCACAATACCAAAAACCTGGAGCCCCAGCCCAGGGGCTCATCAACAGGAACGTGGCACACTATACAGCAGAAAGAGCAAAAGAACGCGTGTGATATGCAGCAAGATGAATGACTCAGCAATATAATATTAAATGAAAAAAGTTAGCCCCAGAAGATCACAGACAGCATGAAACACTTTTGTAAAATTAAAAACTTAAAATTATATATATACATTGATTATCAATCTATATATGTTATAGGTTATATATATTTCATGGATACAAAAATAAAAAAGAAAGCAAGAGAAAATTGAATATAGGTGAGATTTAGGATAATAGTTACTTCAGATGGGGAAGCAGAGGAATGCATTGGTGGCGAGGACCATTTGGTTAGAAGCAGGTTATCGTCAAGGTCCTAGCTTTTGTTTTGGGTGGTAGGTTTGTGGGGTCCTTGTTACATTACTGAAAATAATTGGATAATTAAATACAGGGGAAAAAATAAGCCTAAAGGGCCTGGGGTTCCCAAGGTTAAGTAGAGATCGTTGCTCACATGGACCTTAGTGCTTTGGTTGTCTGTTCCGTTTGTTTTTTTTAAGAGGTAGCACTCTGAATCCTGGAACAAATGCTTTGTACTTAAAAGTCATAAAAAATATGTTGCTCTAAAGTTAACAAACGAAATGTTTTAGGTGTGATTCATATATGGATACGTATCAGATACTTTATAGAGTATTTAGTGCATAAATATTTCTAGCTATTTCTGTTCTTTCATAGAAATTTTACATGTTTTTTCCCTTTCTTAGGACAAAGTTAAACTATAATCCTCCAAAAGATGATGGATCAACCTATAAGATTGAACTTGAAGGGATATCGGTAATGGTTATGAGAGAGATCCTGGATTACATCTTCAGTGGGCAGGTATGATGAGACACAGAGGAAGGAGGACTGAGTAGAGGCTCCTCAAGCTCAGGATGAGGGTCTCCTTCATCCACTCTGTGACCAAGCAACACCGCCATCTCCATCTTCTGTCACTGTGTGCTTGACTTGGGTCTCCTCCTGGACATGGCACCCAAGGGTGTTCTTCCGGGGCTCTGCCCTTGAAAGAGAAGCAGACTAAGTAAGATCTTACCCATTTCCCAGGTTTTGTTTCTACCGTCCTGAGCTCCGCCTTCCAGTCTGAGACATGAGGAACATGGGATGCTCCCTTCACTGCTGTCTTTTTGTTTTTTAAGTCTTAATTCCAGTCTTGCTTTGCACCCACACTCTCGGGGAGCTCGTTCTGTCTCCACAGCATGGACTTGGGAGCCTCCTTGGGTGGTGGGGATTATTTTGTAGAAATAAAGACTTCGAGATTCACACCAGTGTCAGGCACGTGCATCGTACTCAGGATGCCTCCGTCCTGTTGCCTCAGGAGGACCAACATCCCTGTTCCCCCGCATTCTTTCTTTCTGATTTCCCTTTAGTCTCTGTACCCATTTATATTTCTGGGGATTTCATGAAGGCCAAGGAAGGAAGTGATCAGTGGCTAGTGGTCCTTTCCCTTTCTTTGCCCTCCTGCACCCCACTACTCCCCTGTTTATGTGATTTAAAGTGTATAGCATGAGGACTCTTAAGGGTAATCTTGGGTGTGAATCATTAAGAAGTTCGTGTGCCTCACATCTCATTAGGCAAGAGTACATTCTATCTTTACTCCTTTTGAGGGCTCATGTCCCGCTCTCTCCTTTATTCCTTCTTCCTCATTCTTCTTTTAATTTTCCTTTTGTAAAGGCTCTGTCTCCTATGTAAGTATTCTGAGTGTACTGCTTACTTTCTCTAAATATGTTCATTCTGTCCAGAGTCAAACTCGGTGATCGTCATCCTCTTTGAAGTTTTTTTATTTCATTTCATGATGTTATCACTTTCTCTTTTCTCTGAACACTAGGTGGTGGGTGTGTGGAAATAAGGTTATGTGTATGATTATTAAAATAAATGAATTTAAACCAATTTGGGGACAGCCCTTAAAATACTGGCAATGCTCTTTAGCATCACAAAACCAGGCTTAGGTCCAAACTCTTATCTAACTTGTAAAATCAGTTCCGTGGCAGTTATAACAAGTTAGAGGAGTGTATTCATGTTCAGGCTTGCATTGGAAACTTGAAACCTTATTTATCTATGGTACAGAATGTGCAAATTGTGGTAAAATGTTTCTTGCTGCACTTCACTGTGAAATCTCTCCTTAACGCTTCCTAATGGAGGATAAGTACCCATTCTTTTGGAGAGTCTGGACCGTTCGTGATGGTGACAGTATTTTAGGGGCCTGCTTCTTGATGTTGCCTTACTGTTGCATAGAAAAACTGTGAAGTGGGTGGAGGAAGAAGCATCAGTCAAGAAATTGAAGGAAATTAAGGAGAAGTAAATGTTCACAATGATTAAAAAAAAAAATCTTCTTAGGGATTTATTCCAGAAAGTAGCTTCGAGACCAGATTGTATCTTTTGCACCAAGTGCAATGTTTGGTGTTCAGAATGAGGCCCCTCGGGCAGTGTGGCTCTCCCTCTCTTCAAGGGCCCGTGTGGTATCTTCCACGTACCATTTGGCAAAGAAGTGAACTTAATGTATTTGGAGGCAGGATTTTCATTAGTTCAGGTGCTAGCATTTAAAGAAATCGCCTTCAGTTTACCATAGAATGCGGAACTTGCCATTTCCTAAGCATTTCAGTCATTTAAGGTTTTTCTCTAAGTATAGAAGCGAGCCCCATGGACAGTTTGCCTTGGCAGGGATATTGGTGGTTCATCTCGGTGAAGGAAGGGAAGAGCTGGGAAAAGTTAATCGGCCACGCGCTGCCTATGTTGTCCGCAGGTGCCTTGGTGCCCTCCGACTATTCTTGAAAACAAAGCTGAACCCGTATGAAATTGCCAGTTTTCAATCATCTTTGACCTCTATAAATGGAGCTTTCATATGGTCCAGCCTGATAGATTAGTGGTTGGGTTCTAAATATATACATTCAAATATAGACTATCTATGATCATTCTTACAGATCCGGCTGAACGAAGATACCATCCAAGATGTTGTGCAGGCAGCAGACCTGCTCCTGCTGACAGACCTTAAAACTCTCTGCTGTGAGTTCTTAGAAGGCTGCATTGCCGCCGAGAACTGCATCGGAATCCGAGACTTTGCACTCCACTACTGCCTACACCACGTCCATTACCTGGCCACAGAATACCTGGAGACTCACTTCCGAGATGTCAGCAGCACAGAGGAATTCCTAGAACTGAGTCCTCAAAAGCTTAAAGAAGTGATTTCTCTTGAGAAGTTAAACGTTGGCAATGAACGATATGTATTTGAAGCAGTCATCCGATGGATAGCACATGATACAGAAATAAGAAAGGTACCCGTACTTTATAGTGTGCTCTGACTTTGCCTTTTCATTTACTTATTCATTTGTTTGTTTATTTTTAATCCAAATTCTAGATGTTTTATTTTTTTCCTCCAACTTGAAAAACTGACAAGGTTGTGATCTAAACCATAACCTGGAAAACATCTTCCTATAGCCTCACTAAAGCAGTTTGTTGTTCAGACCAGTCTACCAAAGTCCATGTAACTCATCATATAGCAATGAAAATAGTAATACTTACAAGTCACATGCTATCCTTTGAATGTTGTTATTAAGGGGAAGGGGATTTCAAGCTAAGCTGGAGAGTATAGAAATGCACCCTATACTCCTCATCCTAGCTTTCAGCATCCTTCCCTCTGCGATGGTGGGCTAACCCCTACAGGGACTCTGATGCAGGAAGTGGGGTGAGAAAAGGGCACATGGAATTCTGGCAGAGGGCTGAATTCTGGCACTGGGCTCTCCCTGGAGTGACTGACACCACTGGAGGAGGAAGTGGGAGAGCATTCCAGAGCTTTCATGGCAATGAGGTTCCAAATAGGAAGGTTCTGGGAGTGACAGCCTAGGAAGGAAGGGTCTTAGAGAATATCATGCTTGAGATCCACATTGTTAATACATTGGGGGAGGAAGCTTTAACCTTTAAATCACAAGGCTTTAAGTCTAATATTTATATACTAGAGGCTAGCTCCAATTACTATATCAAAATAAAGAAATATATTAGGTTTCAGAGTGGCTCTCAGAATGCATAATTGCATTGTTAATTGTTCTTAGTAACTCTTGGCTTACATTTTAATGATTATCTTGTAATTTTTAAATTCTGCAGACCCGTGAGCGTGTCCACTTAGAAACCACATTCGTAGCTTCAGCTCCTTCGTACAATTAGTGTTCTGTTTTCCCCATTGGTGGGGTAGATTGGGAAAGGGGATAGAAGAGTTTCCACCTTGCTGCCACCACTGAAGTATCTTCTCTCTGACCCTCTTCTTGCCTTAAAGTGATGAGGGCATATAAGATGGAACGGCTGCTGGGAAACAAGAGGCAGTTCCTCATCCTGTGGTTAATCTGAACTTGATGCTGAAAGTGGTTAATCTGAACTTGGTGCTGACTGTCGGCTTTTATTACTCAGGGTATAAAAGAGTGTACCTTAAAATGACAATTTCAAAGCCCAGAAAAACTAGTCACCTTATGTACGTAGTAGAGTGCTATAGTCAGTTGGTTCAAATCTGATGATTGAGCATGAAAAGTATATCATTCAGGGACTTCCCTGGTGGTCCAGTGGTAAAGAATCTGCCTTCCAGTGCAGGGGACGCGGGTTCGATCCCTGGTCGGAGAACTAAGATCCCACGTGCCGCGGGGCAACTAAGCCCGCACACCACAGCTACTGAGCTTGCGTGCCTCAATGAGAGAGCCCGCGTGCCACAAACTACAGAGAGAAAACCCTCACGCCACAACTGGAGAGAAGCCCGCATGCCGCGACTAGAGAGAAACCCTAGCAGACCGTACACCGTAATGAAAAGATCCCTCATGCCTCAACAAAGAGCCCATGTACCGCAAATAAGACCCGACGCAGCCAAAAAATAAATAAATAAATAAGGAAAATAAATAAGTAAAATGCATGAATATTTTTTTAAAAAGTATATCATTCACATTATACATGTTAGATAATTTTTAACAGTAATTACTGAAGAAATGATTATATAGTACTCAGGATTTTTTTTTTTTTTGAAATTTGGCTTTTTCAGATTTTTCTTGTAATGTTAATGTTGATACATGTTCATTATCTAGTTGACCATATTGTATCAAGCTATTCCTGTATATAACGTTTCTATAAATGTGATGTAACTCACAGCACATCCAAGCATGTGAAATAAGGCAAATCATAGCAGTGTTCTTCTAAGTTTTCCTGTTGCTGTGGGAACCCTGTAGGGCATTAAAAAAGCTGCTTAAAACTTTGCAGTGATACATGAAATATAAATCTGAAGTGATGTTTTTTTTTAAGTTAAACTTTTATTTATCAAGGCCAAGGGACGTAGAAAGGAAGGGGGCCGTAAACACATTCAAGCAGTCCTGACCCTTACCACTTGCCTGTTGATAATCTGTCAATAAGTTTAGTCTTCCAGGAGTGGGAAAACGTATATTCTAAATGTACAACGTATTCTCCATTTTTCCTCCCCGTGCTTTCTGCCCTCCAGGTCCACATGAAGGATGTCATGTCAGCGCTGTGGGTTTCAGGGTTGGACTCGAGCTATTTACGGGAGCAGATGCTGAACGAGCCGTTAGTCCGAGAGATTGTCAAAGAGTGCAGCAACATCCCTCTCAGCCAGCCGCAGCAGGGGGAGGCCATGCTCGCCAGCTTCAAGCCCCGGGGCTACTCGGAGTGCATCGTGACCGTTGGCGGAGAGGAACGAGTGTAAGCGTGGCTGTGAGCGGTTTGATGGGCGGTGGTGTAAGGGAAGAGAGATTTCCACGTAAACAGAAATTTATAACACTTTTCAGTATCTAAAGCCTAATAGCAATAGATTTTTTTAAATGTTTGAAACATTCTTTAGCGTAGTAAAACTAGTCACAGTTATTATAAGCAGAAGTACATAAAACATATTAACTACTAATCAGTTATCTCTCTCCTTAGTTCACGGAAGCCAACAGCAGCGATGCGATGTATGTGCCCCCTTTATGACCCTAATCGGCAGCTGTGGATTGAACTGGCCCCTTTAAGCATGCCGAGAATCAACCATGGAGTCCTCTCAGCAGGTACCGTGCTGTCATCAAGTTTACCTAAACACAAGATCAAGTAATGTCATTTCAGAGTTGTGCAGAATGACTCAAAACCTTTTAAAGAAATAATTTTATTATCCCTCTGTGGTGACATTTTCAGGGTGGCTCTAGCTTAAGAGCGTCTTCTGTCAGCCCTTATCGTTCCCAAATCTTAAATACGTTGCTGTTTTTAAGATGTCACTTGAGGAGCATTTTATTGGATGACTTAACTGATGGAAGAGCAGAACTCAGTGACTCTTACCACCCGTTAGCTGGATGATCATGCCTGAGGCGCAGGACTTCTTTGAGCTGTGATAGCCTCCCATCTTGGAAAGTTGTGCAGTGTAGAATCGCAACATGTAACTATATTCAAAATAAGAGTGTCATATAAAAGCAGGCATTTCGTATGAAACTTGAGAAAATACTGCTTAAATTAGTTCTGGCTTAAAGTTGTTTTATGACAGGAAGTATGTTTTAGTTGACGTTTACAAGTTTGGAACGTTATTCAAAGCTTTCTCTCCAGGAGGTGATGGGGAAGGCTGTCCTTGCTGCCTTTCTCTTCACCTTGGATTTGCCTTGCTGGCTTCATCCTGCAAGTGCCATTTCACTTCATTCTAATTATTGTCAGCAGTTCTTCTTTTATAGTCTCTGCTTGCCCACAAACATTAGCTTAAAATTTTTAAGCTATGCCACACTGTACCATATTTTAGATATGCCTAAAGCTATGGAATAGAAATGGAATCGTAGGTTCCACAATTATTGAAGTTTCTGTCATTGATAATCAGCTGGATGGAGTGGTGTAGGCAACAGGATTTGGGTCTGATTTCTCTGTTCCTTCTTAAAATTAGCTTCCTTAAGTTGTCCTCCCATAATGTGTATACATGTGCATAATTTTCACACATGCACACCTACCACAAAGGTTCCTATATCACTGATTTTCAGATTTCCTAGAGAGGTGGTTGTTTCAGAAACTTGAAACAATGAGGAGAAGAATGGTGCCCAGTTGTATTCACTGAAGTTGTGAAATGACTGAGTAGTTCCTATTTGTCCAGCTTGTTCTGTGTTTCTTCTTTTCTTGCCTTTTTTCAAAAAATTGATTGATGACTTTTTTGTCTTTTGGTTTTTTCCCTCTCTACCAGGTTAGAAGTTATATTCTATGTCTATATTCCTTTGAAGGTCACTTTATGTTTGTTTTGTTTTCTTAATATTTACTTATTTATTTATTTGGTTGTGTTGGGTCTTAGTTGTGGCAGGTAGGTTTCCTGGTTGCTGCTCACAGGCTCCTTAGTTGCGGCTCGCCAGCTCCTTAGTTGTGGCACACATGTGAGATCTAGTTCCCTGACCAGGGGTCAAACCCGGGCCCCCTGCATTGGGAGTGTGGAGTTTTAACCACTGCTCCACCAGGGAAGTCCCCTGAAGGTCACTTTTGAATCCACAGCCTGTACTGTTAACAAAGTCTAGTAGTATAAATAGTACATTTATACTCTTATTTTTCACATTCCATAGTCTTACAGTATTAAAACACATGGTTATTTATAAGTAAATATTTACATATATATGTTTATCTGTTTTATACACGTATCTGTAGATAGTGTTCATTTAGATTTATCCACATATTTACCACTTTCTTTGTTTTTCCCTCTTACTCCTCAAACTTTCCGTCTAGGATCATTTTCCTTCTCTCTGAAGTTCATCCTTTTGAATTTCCTTTAATGTGGGTCTAGTGGTAGCAAACTCTTAGATTTGTTTGTCCAAAGATGTCATTATTTTGCCTTCATCCTTAAAGGATATTTTTGCTGGGTATAGAATTTTAGGTTGGCATCTATGATTGAAGATGTTTTTCCACTGACTTCTGTCATTCCTGTTGTTAAGTCAGTTGTCAGATCTAAAGCTCTGCCTTTTCTCTGGGCTATATTTAAGATTTTCTTTTTGTCTTGATTTTTCTGCCATTCCACTGTAGTGTGCTTAGGCAACATTTTATTTGAAATTTTACCATATTTGGAGACTGTTAGGCATCTTGACTCTGTAGCTTGGCCTTTCATCAAATCTGGAAACTTCTTGTTTGTTATGTCTTCATATGTCATCCTTGCTCCTTCTCCTCTGTCTCTCTGCTTTTGGAAGTCAGATCAAACATGGCTAGACCTTTCTACTCCAGCCCCTGCCTTCTATCTTCTTTTTGTTTTCTTTTTCATCTTTTTGCTTCTCCATGTTGCCTTCTCTGTGATTTCTTTTGATTTATCTTGCACTTAATGAATTCTCTCTTTTAACTGTGATGAATCTGCCATTAAACCCATCCATTGAATTCTTTATTTAATCTGTTTTTATCTTTTTTTCCTTAGAAATTCTCTGTAATTTGTTTTCAAATCTACTATGTCACTTCTCTTGTCCCTTCTTCTAGAGTTACCTTCACATTTGTCTTTTTAAAAACATAGTGAGCATTGTTGTTTTACTGTCTTTCTGATTACTCCAATATTTGAAATTTGGAATCTTTGCAAGACTACTCCCTATTGTCTGCTTCTGCTGGTTCTTCTTAATAGAGTCTGGTTTCTTTGTATACCTGAGTATCTTTGCCTGAGTGCCAAAGATTGTTTTATTAAAAATTATTTGTAGGGGGCTTCCCTGGTGGCGCAGTGGTTGAGAGTCCGTCTGCCAATGCAGGGGACATGGGTTTGTGCCCTGGTCCGGGAGGAACCCACGTGGCACGGAGCGGCTGGGCCCGTGAGCCATGGCCGCTGAGCCTGCGCGTCCGGAGCCAGTGCTCCGCAGCGGGAGAGGCCACGACAGTGAGAGGCCCACGTACCACAAAAAAAAAAAATTATTTGTAGGGATAATGTGATGTTTTAAAATCTTAGAATGTTAGAATCTAAAACTTAGATAAACATACTTTCTTCCATAGAACTTTTGTGTTTTTTTCTGCCAGTTGCCTGAAAACACTACTAATTTGTAATTACTGTAAATCGAATTCAAATTTTGAGACTTCCTAGATAAGCAAGGAGATTTAAATCTGGCTTCTAATTCTGATTGGCCTTCATCCTGATGGTTAGAACTTCAGCGAGGCTTTCCTGCCAGAAGCCACACTGTCTGTGGGCCTGGGATTTAGATTTCTATCTTCTTCATCCCCTCAAAGCCATTAAGAGAGAGGCTGCATTTTTCCCAGATTGCTAAACGCCCTCAGAGCAAAATGGTTTCCATGCGTGGTAACCTCTCTAGGGCCCACATTTCCCTTCAGTTTTACCATAGTGTCTTGTTGGCTTCTTCTCCTTGAAGAAGACTATTTTAAATAGAATCTGGGGAACAGAACAGATGAACTGAGATAACTCAGAGTCACTTGCTGACCGGGTGGGTGGTGTCAGTCTTCCTTTTAAGGTGCAGGGTAGTGGGAATCCACTCAGAGATCCCGAGGCAAGTGAAATGGTCAGAGTGACTCACAGATTTGGCTCTATCACCCAGGTTTGGTAAGATCTCAAACCCGTTGTTGTCAGAGAAGGTATCTCCACATCCTATCTCTGCCCTTACGGCATTTGTATTTGACTAGAGATAGGTGTTGAAAACTTACATTTCAACTTTCTTGTGTGTCTTCTTTGATTTTTTGCAGAAGGATTTTTGTTTGTATTTGGGGGCCAAGATGAAAATAAGCAGACCCTGAGCTCTGGTGAAAAGTATGACCCAGATGCAAACACATGGACCGCACTGCCACCAATGAACGAGGTAAAATACTGCTTTTGTAATTTGTCTGATGTTTCTTTTTTCCCTTTAGCACTTTTGTTTGCCTTGCGTTTGAGTATAAGGAAAGAGGTAGCAGCCTCGCCAGGCCCCCCTGCTTGGTACGCTTGTGCCCCCCGCCCGGCTCTGCTCCCTGTGCCTTCCCTTGCTCCCCCTTCTGAAGCCTCCTAGGAGTGCACTTGCTTTGGGACCTTTGCCAGGTACCCACGTGGCTCGCTGCTTGCTTCCTTCAATGTTTGTCCATATGGCTCCTTCTCAGCAAGGCCTCCCCCAGCCTCTCAGCTCTCCTGCCCCCTCCCCTGCTTTCTTTCTCTTCATACCACATAGAACCTCCTCACATACTAGATCTTTCTCAATAGTTCACACAAACTTTTTGATGATGGCAGCGCAACTTTGTTTGTGTGGTCAGCGCTCTCCCTTCAGTGCTGGAGTGGGGCTGGGCACCCAGGAAGTGCTGTGAGTGGATGAGTGTGAAACACATCAGGTTCTGTTGCTCCAGGCAGCCTTAGCCTGGGCCTCTCGCCCTCCCACCCCCACCTCTCCAGCCACAGGCAGTGCTGTTGATATGGATCTTACTTGACTTCACACATCAGCTGGGAACCACTTGCTGCCCACTGCTGTACAAAGATCATTTTACAGAGCCACACAGTAATAGTTCTCTTTCTTGTCGTGAGCTGTTGTGAGTAAAAAGTAAGGATTCTGCCAGTGAATTCACCACGTGTGTGGTTCCCTTGTTCCGGGAAATTCCTGGACTTGGGTTCTCTGTCTATTGTGATAGAAGAGTGAGCTGCTAGGGAAATCAGAAATATTTGAGACGGATGGTTTTGAGCCTGGTATTTCTTTGCTGGAATGCTGGAATATAATGATATCTGTAATTTCTATTAAATGTATGAATATCAGCTTTCAATCTGATAGTTGGCCTTTTGTCTTCAAAGATCTTTGATGTGTTTTCAGGCACGACATAACTTTGGAATTGTGGAGATAGATGGGATGCTGTACGTTTTAGGAGGAGAAGACGGTGAGAAAGAGCTAATTTCCATGGAATGTTATGATATTTATTCTAAAACCTGGACAGAGCAACCCGGTTTAACCATGGTTAGAAAGGTGAGAACTATATCTTGTGATAACTAATTCACAAATTGGATTTTGAAGTTACGTTTCTTCATTTCCTACGTATGCCTTTGAACACAATTGATAGTGTTAAAAGAATTAACATTATAGAATTATGTCTTTGTTGGTAGCTTGCCTTCACTATTACCAGCCACACACCAAGCTAGGAAACGGTGTGTGAGAGAGTTTACCTTGGCAGTGGGCTCTGGACAGCGCTGCTGTGTCCAAGGCCCACGCCTGATAAATGCTTTGTGATTGCACTAACCTAGGAAGGAACCAGGTCTCCCAAACCTGTTTTCTTAATCATTGTGCAGGACTGGGGAGAAACATTAATCCATAGGTAGAGAACTGCGATTGCTTACTGAGTAGCATGAAAACAGATGACTCATGTTAGCTGTTTACAGCTTAGTCTGTATTTCCTTTCCCTGGTAGAGGCTGGAATTTCATCATCAGGCCAAAGCCTTGTCCAGCGCCCTAGGTATTTTACACCTTGGGTACTGGGACTTACTCAAAATATGATCTCTCGCTGTCTGTGCCCTTTCGACTGACTTACTGGGGGCAGGAATTGAATGATGTCTTGCTCTAAGGAGTCTTGGACTCTTCAAATAGTGGTGGGAACAGAGAGCCTGGAAAGCCTCTTTAAAAGTTAGGATTATTTACTCACTTAGTGGAATAGTATTAGATGGAGTTAATCCTTTTCTGAGGATTAACAGTATGTGTAGTACCTTGCTCTTCTCATTTTTAAAAGCCTCTGTTGTAATATTGGAGGCACCATACATAGTCTTACTATTAGAAGTCAGATCCTTTTCCAAATATTTGCCAGTGCTCTCTAGCCAAGCTGGTATTTACTCGCCTAACTTTAAAAATAAATGTTGCCTCCCCCACTGTTGCTTTCTCCTTTCAGATTGGCTGCTATGCAGCTATGAAAAAGAAAATCTATGCCATGGGTGGAGGATCATATGGAAAACTCTTCGAGTCTGTGGAATGTTATGACACACGGACCCAGCAGTGGACCGCTATCTGTCCACTGAAAGAGAGAAGGTGAGAGAACTTGGATAAGGACTGTGCAGAGCCCCCTTCACCTGGCTTTTGTTTTTCCCTTCTTTCCAGCTAATCTTTTATTTGACTTGGCATTTGGTTGATATAACATTAAATTAATAAGCCGTTTCCTGAAAAAGGAAGACCCATGTATTCGTGAAACGTTGAATGGCGCAGAGCTAAAACAAGCGTAAGAGGAATTATGGAATCGGGTCATGAGTTGTAAATCTAATACCTAGTATGCCCTATGTGGCCTTTCAGGTTTGGAGCTGTAGCCTGTGGAGTCGCCATGGAACTGTATGTATTTGGGGGAGTCAGAAGTCGTGAGGACATCCAGGGGGGCGAGATGGTAACCTGCAAGTCGGAATTCTACCACGATGAGTTTAAAAGGTATTTATGAATGGTTTCATGAGGCTTCTGCAACTTTTTCTTTATGCTTTCAAAGGCATGTTTTAGCTTTGTTTAGTTTTGTTTTCAAATTATTTCATTGAATTTATCTATTGATGTCTAATGCATAGTAGATATTTATTCAGTGACTTCAGAAATCTTGGTAACTCATAGGAAAGCCATAGAAAAGTGTTTCTAAAAAGTAGATCAGGGCTTCCCTGGTGGCGCAGTGCTTGAGAGTCCGCCTGCCGATGCAGGAGACGCGGGGTCGTGCCCCGTTTCGGGAAGATCCCACATGCCGCGGAGCGGCTGGGCCCGTGAGCCATGGCCACTGAGCCTGCGCGTCCGGAGCCTGTGCTCCGCAAATGGGAGAGGCCACAACAGTGAGAGGCCCGCATAACGCAAGGAAAAAAAAAATATATATATATATATATAAAAAGTAGATCAGACCCTGACACTTTTGATAGCTTTTAGGAGAAAGTTTAAACTCCTTAACTTAGCAGATTTGGCCTATGTCTACTGTTTCTGCTACTGTTCAACCCAGATGCGTCACTTGAGTCCCACTGAGTGACTTTTTTCTTCCAAAACATGGTATGATTGTCTCAGCTCTGTGCTTTTTTTTTTTTTAACATCTTTATTGGATTATAATTGCTTTACAATGCTGTGTTCGTTTCTGCTTTATAACAAAGTGAATCAGTTATACATATACATATGTTCCCATATCTCTTCCCTCTTGCGTCTCCCTCCCTCCCACCCTCCCTATCCCACCCCTCCAGGCGGTCACAAAGCACCGAGCTGATCTCCCTGTGCTATGCGGCTGCTTCCCACTAGCTATCTGTTTTACGTTTGGTAGTGTATATATGTCCATGCCACTCTCTCACTTTGCCTAGAGTCTGTCATACAGAGTGAAGTAAGTCAGAAAGAGAAAAACAAATACCGTATGCTAATGCATATATATGGAATCTAATACAAAAAAAAGGTCATGAAGAACCTAGGGACAAGACAGGAATAAAGACACAGACCTACTAGAGAATGGACTTGAGGATATGGGGAGGGGCAAGGGTAAGCTGTGAGAAAGCTCTGTGCTTTTGTATTCTTTTTGCCTAATATTTCCCTTCCCATGTTTATCCAGTTAATTTGGCCTCTTCCAAAACACTGCTTAATCATCACTGTCCAGAGAAAGCCTTCTCACACCTCACAGTCTGAGTCAGGCTCCTCAGTCTGGGATCCTATACATCTCTCTCTTGGATGTGACAGAGGTAACGGAAGCTCCTTCAGGACAATTTCTAGCTCAGCTTTGGGTCCTAGCTTCTGGCATCATACCTGGCCAGTATCAGACACTCAGTAAACGTGGTATCAGAGATTCTTAAAACATCTGACAGGCTGCCACATGTCTTGTAAAGTAGGCAGCATCCTTCCAACCCCCTCACTTCCCTCCTCTGACACGTTATATTGTTGTAGCCACCAAACAGTATTGTTACTGCAGTAATATGTTCAAATCCTACAGGGAAACTGCCGTGCTGAAGTTAATCTTGTGATAGCATTTCAACTGTGTTACCAGAAGGGGGTGCCAGAATATAATGTTCAAGTTCATATTATTTTAGATAAGGGCAAACAATGAGCAGGTGCCAAGATTTTAGAAATATGTATAAATGTTACCTAACTATTAGTGTATTTTAAATTTAGGATATTTGCATAGCCTTTTCCCCCCCTTTTTCCTTCAATTACAGGGGGCAAACAGTCTTAGGAAAATTTACTAGACAACGTGTGGGAGCAGTTTGAGAATGCTTGCTCTGGGAGCGGTGGGGGGCAGAATTTCAAGGACTTTTCTACACTTCTCTTCCGTAATATGTTACTGCGAGGGCTGACTGTTCAAGGTATGAAGTGGTGTATTAATTTCTTGCCCAAATGAATCCCAAAACAGTGTGCGCCCAACCTCATTAACAAGCAGTGGTCAGTACGTTTGGTTTCTGATAAAATATTGTTATAAGCCTTTGTCATAATGACTGAATTACTGTTTGGACAGTGTGAGCTAGAGAGCTATAAACTCGCTTGCTGAAGTAATCAGGGTTGCTTATGGTTTTACCATTTTCTGTCCCTATTTTGATTGTATAGGACTTAAATCTGGCTGTAAAGTTTTTTATCTGCTCTTGATATGCTATCAATTATTAGAACCTTTAGATTTCTATCAGGTTGTCTCACTAATATAGTTGATAAGCTTCAGATATAAGTATATTACTTGCTTTCAGTTCATAATTGTTAAACATGAGTATTGCTTCTTCCTTGCTATTTAAAAGCACTTGCAAATAAAATTTGTATTGTCTTGAGTTTGCTTATATTCAAGCTTTCCAGTGTTGATTCACAAACAGAATGAGGAAAGCTTAACTTCTGTTGATATATAGGATTCTTGTTTAGATAGCACTAAACATGCATATAACACTAAGTGCCATGTATTAACTCATTTAATCTTCAAAACAACCCTCTGAGATATAGTTACTCTTTTTATTCCTATCTTGCATACGAGGAAACCAAAACACAGAGAGGTTAAGTAATGTGCCCCAAAACACGCAGGTAGCAGGTGGCAGAGCTGGAATTTGAACCTGGGCGCTCTGGCCCCAGAGTCCACATTTTCAGCCACCACACAATATTGCCTTAAAAATACAGGCTTTCCCATAAGTATCTATAGAAGGGAAAAAAAATCTATAAGTAGTTTATTTCTTTAAAGATCAGATGTTTCCAAGTGTGTGATATTTGCATACTCTGGAAACTGTTGCCAGATGAACAACCTGCATTAGATTGGACCATTTACTGTTTTTAAGTAAATCTCTTGTCTTTCCTGTCTTTGTTCCCTATTTTTAGGTTAAAACTTTCCTGGAAAAATGCCATATCTTACTATTTTCTGTGTTTCTGACTAAAAGCAAAACTATGTGAAGGAAAGCAAAAAAAAATTGCCATTATTTATACCAAGTCATGGCAACAACTTCATATATCCAGAAAGACAGTATATCTATTTCTGTTCCTTGTATCCCTGTTCTTTTACTCGTACTACCATCCTCCCAGTGGTCCATATTCAAAATAAGGTCATCTTTGATTCTCTTTTACGCTTCACATCTCATGAGTTGCCAAGTTTTTTCTTTTTTTTCTTTTTTTTAAACTCTGTAGTATTTTTCACACGTCCCCCCCTTCATTTTTCTGCCCCGACTCCAGTGAGCTCACTCTTTTATATGTGCAAAGTCTTCTAACCAGTCTCTCTAATACATTTCACCTACTTGTGCTTTTGAAAGATTAATCTGACTTTGGTCATTTCATTGTGATGGAAATTCTTCCTGTTTCCCCATTGCTTACCAAGTAAAGATAATAATATTTAGCCTCCTACTCGGGGCCCTCCATGATCTGAGGTTGAGAAAAATGTTCAGCCTTTTTCACTTTCTCCTTTTCACATGTTCTGTACTCCAGCTCACTTCTTATAGCCATCCTGTGTTTTATTGTCTCTGTGCATTTGCTCAGCCGAGATGCCCTCCCCCTTTCATTTTTATATTATAGGTAAGTCATGTTAACTATTCTTTGAAGCCTACATCTGTCAGTTTCATCTTTTGGTGCCTGAAGGTATACTTGGATAGACATCTTTGACCACTGGCTGAATCCCCTGTGGTTCTCTGACTTGTGGGTAAGGGACCATTATGGTAGCATGGGTTAAGTGGAAGTCACTGGAACTTTCCTTCCCTGCCAAGATAGAAAACCAGAAGCAGTACTGCATTCTGAGGAACGTGCAGACGTTAGTGCCACCGTCAAAGACTTGAAAATGCAAGAGTCGTGCTACGTATCATATCCCCACTTAATTCACTTAGAAAAAGTAGAAAGGTCAAGTGGATTCTGGAAAATAACCGTGAACTTTCATAAACTTAAGCAGGTGATTAACCTGATCACAGACTCAGTCCCACGGGTGGGATCTTTATGCAGCACAGTCCCTGGCCTTGTTTGCTGCTGTTGCCTTAGCTGATGCCTTCTCCTCACACCAGTCTGCAGTGACCACCAGAAGCTGTTTCTTGTACCTGGCAGGACCAGCGGTACCCCTGTACAGTGTTGCCTCAGGACTGTGTCAGTTTTGCCGTGTGCAGTATATTGTTAGCCCCCAGAGGTTTTGGTCACCTTGGTGTGCCGTGCTGTTATTGGTCTGCCCCGTGGACCATGTTATGCTGTTTGGATCTGAGGCTTAGGCAGTAGCACATACTACAGATGCCTTTGTAAGACACGTGAGCAAGAGGGTGGGAGATGAACTCTGCTCCTAACCAAATCTGCTTCAGCCACGGTCCAGCCGGGAGACAGAAACCACCTCGTAATCTGCAGGGGAGACTTAATGTATGTAATTATTAACTAGGAAGAGTAGTTAGCTGCTAACAGGTGAGAGAATGCAGAAACAGCCAATGAAGGAAGCGCGACTACAGCCTTTAGGGAAGGTGCCCCAGGAAGGAGCAAACTGGGAAGAGCCCTCCCTGCCCCGCAAGGCTGGATTTACCTCCGTGGAGGAGGGTGTGCAGTGGCCCCAGACTTGGCAGAGCCCTGGGGTGCCAGGGCCAGAGCTGGTGCGTGGAAGCTGCCTGCTGGCTGGCAAAGGACCTCCCTGAGGGAGAGCCACTCTGGTCCCCCGGCACACAGGAGGCGGCAGAACAGATGGAAGAACGACAAGGCCACCGACACCAGGGAAGAAGCCCTTTCCTCTCCCCAGCCTTGCAGCCCCGCCAGCGCTCTCTGTGCTGCGCTTACCTTCTCAGAGAACCAGCTACGCATCCATGTTCATTTTCTCCACTGTGTGTTTTCTGTTTCATTGCTTTCTCCCCTTGTCTATATTATTTCCTTCCTTTTACTTACTTTGTGTTTATTTTGTTCTTCCTTTTCTAGCTTCTTCAGGTAGCATATTCGATTTTTTAAATTTCTCTGTTGCGGTCTCCTGTCTTTTTATCATAAGCGTGTTTTCCTTTCCCTCACTGAGCATCGTTATGGTAGCTGCGCTCAGGTCCCTGTCTGGCAGATAATCCCAGCATCTGAGTCATCTCAGAGTTGGCGTCTGTTGATTGTTTATTTCCTTGCAAAGGGGTTTTCATTCTTCTGGCTCTTTTGTTGAGTAATTCTGGATTGTGTCCGGGGAGCGTTGCGAACGTGACATTGTTGAGGCCCCGAGGTCTCTTGCTGTTGCTTCAGAGACTTGCTCCAGGCATTTAGCAGACAGTGGACTTGGTTAGACTCGTGGAGCCTCAGGTGCAAGCATTCATGGATCCAGTGTCAGTCAGACGTGACTCAGGTGGATGCCCGTCAGTTTAGGGGCTCTTCTGAGACCTCCGCACACTTCAGTGATCCTTGTTGCCTCAAGATGCTCTCCCCTGATTCCGGTGGCCAGAAAGACAGCAGGGTTTTCTCTAGGGCTTTTGTCCCCCAGAGCTGCCAGCCCCAGGCTGCCTTCAGACGGAGCTACCAAGGAACTGGAAACTCATTCCATGTGGGTGCTTGTTCAGCCTTCAACTTCTTTCCCAAATCTGCCTGCTTCTGCTCAGTCTCCAGAGCCCTCAGGCAGTCTGTCTTTTGTATTTTGTCTAGAGTTTGTAGCTGCTTCTCGTGGGAGGCTCAGCCGAGCCCTCGCTGAAGCTCCCTCTCCCCTCCCTCTCTCCTTCCCACCTTCTCTCCTTGCCTGTCTTACCCCTCCTACTCTGCTCTCTCTGAAGCTTGCCCCATTTTAAGCTTTCTTTGAGGGAGGGGGGATTCTTAATTCTGAGTTACCAGAGGACACACCATTGTAGCCTCCAAGTCCCGAGGAGCCCACGTTTGAGAACAGTGTAATAAAGGCATAATATTGCCTCTTGTCCATCACAAAAATCACTGCTACGTCACAATGGCTGCTAAGTACTAGACACTGTGCAAAGTGCCTTACATTGGCTGTTCCTTTTCATCCTCACAGCCGACACCTGAGCCTGGGGATGGCGTCCCCACCCTACAAATGACGAAAGAGAGACTGGGTTAGCTCAGTCGTCCAAGGTCAACGAGGTGATAAATGGTAGAGAAAGAAATGCAGAACCACATGCCATTTATACCATTTTTAAAAGCAGCGGCTAAATATTTGATCCAATTAAATTCTCATATTGTATGTACTTTGAAGCCTCAGCATTATATAAAATAGATCACATAGGATTATTTTTCTGAAACCCAGGAACTCTGAATCACTGATCTGCTCTGGACCAAATTTGGTAGACAGTCTACGTAGACCAATTTCTGCAGCTTTGTTGTATTATTACAGGGAGGAATTATGTTGAATTCTCAACTCTGCAAAATTACTGAGAAATGCCCTTGTATTCTGACGTGTTCTTTCGGTAGATAATCTAGTCGCGTATGTCTTAATTCAGAAGAAGTGCCGGCTACCTTGCGGGCGTGCCTGTGGCCCTATTGATGGACTTGCTGGAAGGGTTGTGTGCCTCTCCAACAGGGTCATCCTGGGAGTGGCTCAGCTGCAGACAGGGCAGGGGGATACTCATCAGCTTTGTCTGATTCAGGACCTGGGAAGAATTTAAATGTCGAGGTTTAGTAATTTATGTTTATTTAGCCTTGAAGACATAAAATATGGACAAACCAGTTATTGTATTTGACATTTTTCAAACTTTTTCTTTCAAAGGCCTTCGGGTCCCCGTTTTCACTTTGCATTGAGAGCTCTTAGATGTTTCCCTTTTCCTATTTATTAGAGGCATCTCGGAGGCAGGGGCCGAACTGAACTCCCAGTCCCAGCAAACTGCTTGATTCCAATCAACTTTTAGATGTTCGAGGAATCGGATGTTAGGTAAAGGTACTCAGCGATATGAGAGCTTTACAGCAGCTTTGCTTCTGAGTTGTTCCATGATCTTGGACAAATCATTCTGCTTCTGGGTTTCTTGGGATTAAAAATATGGAAGCTACTACTTTATGTAACAGTCTGGGAAGAGTGCTCATTGAAATAAAAGTGCTGTTCTTAGTGAAATAATTTTACATTTGTATTCAACATCAAGATGCTGTAAACCTTAGCCAGTGGCTTCTTGGACACTTGATGGCGTAGAGTTAGACACACGGGAACAGTGCCAGGGCGTCTTCGTGCTCTCATGCTGAGCGGAGGCCCAGACACTGGTAGTTCTGAAGGGTTTAGATACATTTCCAAGATCTGGCTGAGGTCTGCTCTGACCTGGCTATGCCTTTAGCTGTTAAAGGGAAATTGTTTGGTCAGATTACCTGAAGTAAACATTATTACATAGCAGAGTCACTTGTTTTTGTTTTAAAGCAAAAAAAAACCTTTTATTTTGGAATAATTTTAGACTTGTAGAAAAGTGGCGAAAATAGTACGAGTTCCCAAAAGCTTCTCCCAGCTTCACTCAGCTTCTCCTAATGTGAACATCTTACATACCATAGTACAGATATCAAAACCAGGATACTCACATAGGTACAGTATTATTAAGGAAACTACAGACTTTATTCAAATTTCACCAGCTTGCCCACCAATATCTTTTTCTCGCTGCTCCGGGATCGGATCCAGGACCTGACATGGCTTTCAGTTGTTGAGTTTCTTCGGTCTCCTTTAATCTGTGACGTTTCCTCTGTCTTTCCTTGTCCTTCATGACCTTGACACCCTTGAAGGTTATTTTTTACTAGGCTGTCTCTTCATGTGGGTTTGTCTCATGACGTCTCGCGATGAGGCTGAGGTTCCGCGTTTGGGCCAGGAATCCCGCAGAAGTGCTGCTGGGCCCTTCTCTGCCCGGCGTCAGGGGGAGCATGATGTCGATAATGTCTCGTTACTGGTGATGCTAATCTTGACGACTTGGTTAAGGTGGCATCTTTTGGGTTTCCGCCTTGTAAAGTCACTATTTCTCCCTTTATAATTAATGAGTATCTTGGAAGAGAGAATTTGAGAATATGGGAATATACTGTTTCTCCTTAAACTTTCACCACTAATTTAGCATCATTGATGGACTGGCCTTGCAGTAGTTATCACTGTGCTGTTTGCCTAATGGTGATTTTTCTGCTTCCCTCATTCCTTCTACCTTTGTCAGCTGGAATTCTGTAAAGAAGACCTGTCCCTTCTCCCTAATTTTTTTTTTTAATGTATTAAGTCATTTGTTTTTATCAGTATGGATTTATGGATACTTATTCTATGAGTTATTATCTCTCCAGGACTATCATTATTCATTGTGTTGCTCCACTTGTTCCCACCGTGGCCGTTGGGAGCTACTGCATATCAGCTCCGGTGTCCTTCTGAGACAACTCATCCTGTTTTAAGCTCTTCCTATGTGGCAGCACAAGATGATCCAGGCTCATCGTGTATTTTCGGCCTCTTCTGTGGAGTCAGCCACTTCTTCATGGAGCCCTGGCTCCTTTTAGTGGCTATTAAATTGATTTTCAACAGAAGTACCAAGCAATTTAGTGGGGAAAGAAATGTCTTTTCAGCAAGTGATGCTGGAACAACTAGGTATCCGTATGGGGGAGAAAAAGGACTTGACTCTTATACCTCATACCATACACAAAAGTTAACTTGAAATGTATCCATAAGACCTAAGTGTAAAAACTGAAACAATAAAATTTCCAGAAATTTTAATTTAAAAGACCTTTGCAACCTTGGAGTAGGCAAAGATTTCCTAGGAGGACATAGAAAACGTGAACTCTAAAAAGAAAAAAAAATGATAAACTGGAATTCATCAAAATTAAAAACCTCTGTTCTCAAAAGTCCCCATTAAGATAATGAAACGACAGTCTACATTCTGGGAAAAAGATCTGTGATACACATATCTAACAAAGGACTTGTATCCATGAAATAAAAAGAATCTTAAAATTTAATAAGAAGACAGAAAAGCCAATTTGAAAAATGAGCAGATCTTTGAGCAGAAATTTCACAAAAGTAGATACATAAAGTGTCCAGTAAGCACATGCAGAGATGCTTAGCACCATTGGTCTTCAGGGAAAAGCACACCACTCATATGGCTAAAATGAAAAAGACCGATGGTACCCGAGCTGGCAGTAATGCCGAGCAGTTAGAGTTTTCACATGTTGCTCATTGGAATGCAAAATGGCACAACACCTTGGAAAACAGTGTGGTGTTTTCTTATCAAAGGAAATATACCTTTAACCGTATACCAAGCAATTCCATAACGTAAGCACACAAAAGAGCTTTGCCCTCTCAAGTCCAAAATAGCTTCACTCACAATAGCCAGACACTGGAGGCTGCCCAAATGAACCTGAACAGGTGAATGGGTAACAAATTCTGCTGTACCATGTAATGGAATCCTGCTTAAGATTACAAGAAATGAGATAACGATGAAACCACAGCATGGATGAATCTCCTTCACACTGTGCTGAGTGAAGGAAGCGGACTGAATAGTGCGCTCTATGATTCATTATATGCAACATTCTGGAACAGACACAACTAAGTCTTCAGTGACAGGAAGGAAATGAGTGTTTCCCCAGAAGAGGGGTGTCGGTGTCGTGCCTTGTACTGTAGGTGGCTCACTGAGTTTTGTCATCTCAGTCTGCTGAGATGTCGTGGACACCCTTTGACCTCCTTCATTCTGTCCCTCTGTTTGTTCTCAGGTGGATCTATCTTAATGACCAGAATTTATGCATCCCCGCCAGTTCCTCTTTTGTGTACGGAGCTGTCCCCATAGGAGCCAGTATCTATGTCATCGGAGATCTTGATACAGGTCAGAATGTTACAGTAATCTTGTCGGAACCGTTTCCCAGTGATTCCGAGGCACGGTGTGTCACCTCTGCTTATTCTCACGGCGCAGGTACCAATTACGACTACGTGCGCGAGTTCAAAAGGAGCACGGGAACCTGGCACCACACCAAGCCCCTCCTCCCCTCCGACCTCCGCCGCACGGGGTGTGCAGCCTTACGTATTGCGAATTGCAAGCTTTTCCGCCTGCAGCTTCAGCAGGGCTTGTTCCGCATCCGCGTTCACTCACCTTGACGGGGCCGCGGCGCGGAAGCGGAGCTCCTGACCAAGCGCGCCGGGACGCGGCGCTCTGCGAGGGGACAGAGATGGCAGGCGACCCTTGCTCTGCGCCGGCCTCTGTGCGGTAACACGAGTGGTTTTCTAACGCTTAGAAGCCTGGGCTTCCAGCTCTTGTTCGGGAGAACACGTAACTGCTGAAAAAAAACGAGGAGGAGTCAGTTCCTCCAGGAGATGTGTCCCTAGACCAACCGGGCTAGTCAGCGTCAGAGGAAAAGGGAGGTGGGAATCCGTGTCATGTAAAATCAGGAAGTTACAGCACCAAGGTGCATGTTCCCCGCGGGGAACTCACGTCTGGCTGACCGCTGTGTTCGAGTACCTGGCTTTGGTTAACAAACGAGCAAACGTGCATATATCAACATATCCAGACATACCGGGGTTGCTTTTCCACTGCACTTGGAAGGAGATATTATGCCTAACTCTGCCCAACAATTTAAGGTTTGTGCCTAAAATGTTAGATTGGACTCAATGCCAGTTAGTCTCCACTTAATACTAGTTCTCTGTCCTAAGAATCTTTTTTAAACTAAATTATGATGAATTGAAACTAAGATAAAATTTCTCTTTTATGACATTCTATCTTAGTAATCCAAAGGAGTCAGTAAATTAAGGAGTCAGGTGGCAGCCCTCCCGTGAATTTAAAGGAAGTTGCTGACTTCTGTGTTAATTCAGATGAAGATGTGTCATGCCGTCGTTTCTGGGGTTGTGAAGGATCTCATGCAGTGCCAGTCTTCCTTTCCAACTAACCAGAACTGTTTTATAAATATGAGGATGTTAGTGAGTAGGAGATTTTGTAAAAGAAGGACCTGAGCCGGACAAATAATAAAGGTCTGCTATGACACACACACACACACACAAATGTCCAGAGGAAATATATAGGGATCAAAAACTTTTAAAAGTAATCTGTCTGAAAGCACACAAAGTCTTGTTTACTACTGTCTAGGATTTGAAAACGTGTCTTGGAATGCGAATCCACGTTAAGAATCTAGTCTTTGTAGCAGAATTTTCTCAACGCCGTTCACTAGTACGAGTTTCAGACAAATTACAAGTAAAGGTTGGCTGGTAGAATAAACTACCTCAGCTTAATTTCATTCTGTTCGTGTGGAGCAAATTAATCCTTCCCTCCTCCCCTCCCCCTCACTCCCATGTCGACCCACTCAACCCCACTCCCCAAGGGGGAAAAAGTCTGTCATTAGTGGCACTTACCTTGTAAGATATTTTGTTTTCCATTCGAATTATACCACCTTAGTGTGAAACCAAGGAGTTCAAAGTGCTTGATGACTTCATCATCTGAATTTTATGCAATATCAGATTTCTAATCAATTTAATATAGAGCTCTTCATTTCTAATTGTTTTCTACAGCTCCCCCCCCTTAGTATATGGCTATAAGAAGCAGCATTTAGTCTTAATGATTAATAAATGTATAAGTGTATCCTTTGGTTATAAATTTGAGAATAGGAATTTCTCCTAGAAACTTCCTACCTGGAATGTCTGTATGCTTTACCCATGCATATGAAACATCACTTGTCTTTTCCCACCCAGGAACAGTAGAAGTCAATCCAGTGCTAGAAAAGTCACTGAGCAGCCTTGTCTGTGGGAATTCTAAAGGATGTTGTGTGTGTGCATGAACTCTCCATCCTGGCAGAGACATGGGTAAAAGGAGGTACAGGGTTTTCCTCTTCTCTATCAGAGGCACTGGGCCAGATTTGCCAGCCATTCACATAACAGTCAGATTGGACGTGTTAAGTCAAAGCCAGCCTCTTTGCTTCGTACCGTGTGCCAGTCAGCTGTTGTCTGCATGCTTTCCCCAGGATACCTTGGATGTCTTTTAATCAAAGCAAACTGCATGGCCACTGCAAAGAAAGAAAACTTTCTTTGTACAACTAGATGTTAGTTTTAGAGGAAATAAATTTCTGAAAAAGTGGATTTTCTTTGGTAAAATGTCCCATACAGAACAGAACCTTGGCCTTCAGAAGCCACAGCTGAGGTACATTAAAGTGGTAACTGATGTCCTATTAAAGCCATGACAGTCAGCAATTCTCTTTTCTTTAATTTCTGAAATTTAAAGTCCTTCCCAGGCTACGCCAGGCCTCTCCAAGGAGACAGTTCATTGTTTAGGAGTGAATGGGTCCTTGTTGCAGTATTATCAGTGCCTGCATGACTTGGTCAATTCATTTTATAAAAGTAGTTTTTTTTGTTTTTTTTAATTTAGTTCATTGACACTGTAGCTGCAGAAATTAGGTAACTTTTTTAAAATTAAATTTGCCGCATAATATGGGATGCAATAAACAAGAAAAGCTGCTAAGTGCCAAACTGTTATTTTACTATATATAAATATAAAAATATTACATTGAAGTGTAGGGATGTATTTAATTTTATTATATTCCAAAATTAATCATGACTTTTTTGTAAATTACAGTTACTTTAGTATCGTGAAAAAAGTTTTAACTAATTTCACGCAGGTTTGTGTTTTAACCATCCATTTATGCCTTGAAATACCCTTTCTTGGTAAATTTTTCATACTCCTTTTTCCATTAGGCACTTTTATCAGGTGTGTATTGGAATTAGCAGCGAAAGATAGATCTTAACATTTTAAACACAGTATCTTTGGGGGAAGTGCAATTTATTTTCATTATCCGCCAACAGAAGGAGAGTTGTCTCAGCTAAGAGTAATTTAAAGTATTTCTTCTAGGCTACGGTCTAAAGTAGGTTTGTTTCTTTGTTTAACACATCCAAATACAGATTTTTTTTCAAAGATTTAAGTGTTTAATTTAAAATGAAGTTTAACATTTTTTTGTGACAGTGCTTATATCCTGTGAGAGTAAAAGTGTGAGAGAGAGTGTGTGTGCGAGTGTGTGTATGTGTGTGATGTGACTAGGTAAGTCTGTTTGTATATGTTTAGCTTTGGAATTGTCGTTCCAAACTACATATATTATTGTCTCCTGGTGCTTCAGATAAATTCTTGAGCCTGTGGTCCTTCAGTTTATACTACTGTGTTAAACTCATGTTGAGTGTTTATATTGATGTATTTGTAGTTTGTAGTAAGTTTTACTTGGCGTTTGCATTTCTTTTCTTTAGCATATTAAAAACAGTGTTAGTGTTTACCAACTCATAGTTGGTATGTTATAAAGATTTGGCCTAAGAAATTTCTAAATTCATCGTTTCTTTTACTGCTATGAGGAGTTGATAGCTGACAGTAGGCTTTTTTCAAACTGTGCAACCACCAAAAGAGAGTATTTGGGGGATGTTGGACGGCATGTTGTCTGTCTTGAAGTGTTCTGTTATCTTGCACTACCACTTTAATGATGGCACTTTCTTCGGTGATGCTTTGGAAGTGCCATTTTGTCATTTATGAGTGAGGAGTTCCCTGGGCAATGCATGGGAGATTACATCATTTATATTGATGTGGTAAAGACAGGGCTCCTTTGCTGTGGCACTGCAGTTACTCAGGGTAGCAAGTTAGGTTTTTAGAGAAATGTGTTAGCTGCTTAGGTCCTTTGGGGTTCCGTTTGGTGTGTTCCTGCTTCATTGCACCAAACCAGGGATCTCCAAAAGTTTTCCAAGGAGCATTAAAAACACTGCAGTATTACCTTCCAGAATGTTGTTTTTCTTGATTCAAGAGGAGGCTGCCTGTGATCAGATGAAGACATGTGATTATCCGGGGAAAGAATGAGGTGGCACTTTCACCATATCAGTTTTGAAGGTGCTGGAACCCCCTTACAGAGCACCCAGTGGAAGGGAAGGGAAGGGTGAGGCTGCTCTGGTTCCGTGGCTGCCCCTGGAGCCGTGAGAGAAGAGACTCCAACCGGCACAGAAAAGCCAGCCCTGGGTTTAATCAACAGTGTTGATTGAGCACCTACTCAGAATTCTGCTTGGGTTTCTGGGGAGCTTCACAGTGAGGCAGATGAAATCCTGCCCTCCCTCTAGACTGTAAACTCCTTGTGGGCAGGAACCCTACTTTAGTCTTCTGCTAATCCTAGTGCTTGGCACACAGTAGGTCGTCGATAAATGACCAATGAATACAGTGTCCTTGTGACCCAGGTGACGTTCTTCACAGGATTGAAAGAGACTTACTTTTAAGTGAGAAACTTTGCACACAGATAGGCCGGCCTCATAATACAGAGTGGGAAACCAGTACAGAATAAAAAATGCAAAGTGCCTGACTTATATGTGACGCACAGCTCTGTGGTCTCCGTATGTTCTGGAGGATTTTTGAGACCCTGTACTCAGCACACCCAATAATGTTTACCACATCTAATGTTGGGTTTTGTTCACTGCTTTTTCTATGGGGCTCAAAATCTTCTCCAGAACGTACTGCTTTGATCCTCACATCTCTGTGATGGGTGCAGTGCTCTCCATTGGACAGAAAGCAGCCTTTGAGGCCCAGTAAATACAGCTTCATTCCCCACTTCAGATGTGAACAGAAGCCAAAAAGTGGAATCTGGTCTTTGGATTATCAATTTCACTGTTCAGTGTATTAGAATATCACTTAATTTTTTAGGCATACAAGTATTTTTAATCATATAATAATCATTTATGGTATAACTTAAGACCTCCAAACATATCCTTTGCAAGTTGCACAAATATAAACGAAAAGATCTTTGGTTTTCTTTGTCATTTAGCTGTGGGAAATTTAAGAATTTACTAAAGTTCTAAGAACAGAAGTCATAAGCGTTTGTGTTTGAGAGAGAAGCTGTTTTTACTTTTAAAAGCTGAAGCTTCATTTTTCCTTCCCTTTCTTACCACATCTAATCATAAGGGAAAAGATACTGTGTCTTAGAATGTTGAGGGAAGCATTTTGCTAGCTTTCTAGTAACCCCTGAAGTATTCCCTGGAGCTGGTTGATAGAAGTTTATGGTACAAGGGTGAGGGATGCCCCACTTGCCCACGTTTGAGGGGAGCGTGAACTCAGGTGAGTTAATCCTGCCTGCTGGCAGCCGAGTCCTCCTGGTCTTGAACTGGAGACTTCCTCTATTTTTTGGCAAACCAGCTAGTGAAAATTCTAAATTTTTTGTAATTTTGTTTCAGAGGTAATTCTATTATTTTAATTTTAAACATATCTCAACTTGGTCTCTGCAGTATGTGACATGTGAGAAGCTCAGATGTAACTCTGTATTCTTTGGACTGATGCATACTGCTCAGGAAAGTTAGTTCTTTTTCAATTTTATCATTGAAGTCCTCTAAACGAATGGATTTTTAAACTCCTTCCCTTTCTTATGAAATCAAATATCTAATAACATTGCATAATTATCTAGTGAGAAATGTGTGTTGCCTTCTCTTTTTCATGTTGAGATAAAAACTCATCTTTTAAAATTGCTACTCACCTGAAATTTAGGCTAATTATAATTTTTTTTTTTTTTTTTTTGATATTGACGTCCTCATGGCCCAACAAAGTTGTTGTAAACTCTTAAATCACTGTGATCTGAATTAGAGAAGGTGCAGGTAGGAGGGGGTGACAGCCCACGGAGTCTGGGTACACATTGCGTAAGATGACGTGGAGAAAGCTTAGCCGCTTCCTGTGACCCAAGTAAATGAATGGTCACTTCAAATTATTCAGTTCCCGAGTGGCTGTGGGTTCATCTTCCTTTCTGGTTGGTGAATTATATTTGTTAGAACTTTATTTTTAGCATGTCAGTGCAGCTTTTTAAGCACCTTATTTTTATTCCTCTCACTCATCAATGACACGCAAGGTGTACCTTAGAACCTTGGGTTACATTTTTTCAAGTTAAACCCAGGAATTTGGTTCACAGTTTGCTTTATCATGTTTCCTGTTTAATCGGACGAGAATTACACATGCACTTATTCCCTTGTTCTTTGTGTTTATAGGAAAGACGCTGT